TATTTTTTCACACCCGCCTAAAACTTTTGCACAGTACTGTACATCAGAACTAGACACAATATTAAACTTGCCAAACTTTGGGACTCCATTGCCAAATTACTTTCTCCTCATTGTGTAAATAATCCACATACATAGCAAGTATAATTAGTATACAAATCATGTGATCTTATGTAGATATACATTGTTCTTTCTATGCCATGTTTCATCATAGATTGCTGACTTCTTACAGTTGTGTTTTAAGGGCAATCTTGCAGATTTAATTGAAACAAAAAACTCCATGAGAGTTTTTAACTACAGTTGTTTCAGGTGTGATAATGAAACACAGATTTAAGGACATGGAACTGAATTAGATCCATAAAATACACAGCCACCTGTCCTTCTTCCAAACTGTCTCCCACATCTTCTAAATTTGTCTCCTTAATTCTTATCCAGAATGACAGCTGTCAAATGAAATTATATGTTAAATTATATTTATGTTTTGAACACATACTAAGAGATTTGGGCAAGCTTGCAAAGCTTCTAGCACCCCTGGAATGCTGAAAGCTTCATAACCGCGAACCCTACGTCTGTCAAGGTGCCTGGGATGAAGCCCGTATAGCTGCTCAATGTCTGGCATTTTCTTCAGCAAGGTTAGGAAGCTGGAATCTGTAAATCCTGCAGAAACAATCCATATTTTATCTTTTTTTAAAAAAAAATAGATATTTAGATGCACAAAGTCAAGCAACTGTCTTTATTTTATCATACATACACTGCCATTTGTATTTTGGCATTTTTTTGGGTAATTTTAGACTTCAAAGACAACACTAAAGAAATATTCTACTACTATTGAAAAAAAATTGAACTGCATGTAAGATGATAATAAGACTGATTTCATTGAAATAATAATTACAAACAGAGGATGTTAAATGTAGACTTAATCAAATAAATGTTTAATTCTCCCAAAGTATAATTTGGTAAGTGGTATCACAGATCTATGTTATAATGGATTGGGTTGTACAGTTTGACTAATTTTTTCATCACAGATCTATCTTTTTTCTTTCTTGATGAGTTTTTATTTGTAATTGAACATATTATGTTATTATTCACGTATCCCAATTTTAATTTTCCTTAAAAAGGAAGAAAAGCCATTTGACTCATTGTTCCACAAAGCTTCCTTATTCCCCACTTTAAAGGGAAGTACTAAACTTGCCCTTTCTGAATTTGTAAGTGTTCCTACATTTTTCTGACCATTTAGAATGTCTGCAAAACACTTGGCAATTTCAGACACTTTCCACAGCAATCTAGAACAAATCCCCAGTGATCCAGGACAAAGATTAAATTGACTTAGTTCCATTTCAGAATACTCCTATTCCATCACTTCTGCCTAGTTGGCTGCCTAATCAAAAGTTGCTTTCTCTTAAAATACAGAGATGTGAAAGATACTGAAAGCTTTTGCCATCTCTTCATTATTCTGGGAAGCTTCCCAGGCACAAGAAGTCTTTGCCATTTGTGGTAATTCCCTGGGTTTTTTTTTTAAATAAAATGCTATAGCTAAGCAGAAAATATAGTCAACATTGTCAAGATTAACAGCACCACTTACCAGTAGGCATGTACTCCCACCAGCGACTTGCACAGAGATCCACAACTTTTACTACTCTTAGGTACAGGATCACAGCTTCCTTTAACTTCCGGGAGAGGCATTCCATGCACATGATATCTTGCAGGGGAAGATACCTTCAGGAAGGGAATAAAATGGGATTAATTCTTGGATGGTTTCTTTCCTCTACTATTACACTAAACAGTAATTTGAATAGTGCTGCATTCATCTATTCACAAACATAGCAAGGAATTCAACAGTAAAGGAAAACAGAACTGCAATAAACCAGGACATGTGATTTAGTTATTCTTTCTAAATTCATCTAGTAACAATAGTTCCTTTGGGAGAATCACATACTGAAAAATTTAAAAGACAAAATTAGTAAGGACATCATGTGTGTAAAAACTGGTATTCTGTCATGATACCAGGACTTCAAAATTACCAGATTGAATTTGGTTTAAATAGCTGGAAACAAAGGAGTGTATTTGTCAGGCAATGAAAAAACAATGTAAGCTACCAGACAATCTTTCTTGGAGAGGACATTTGATAAGTAGGCCCTGTACCTTACAGTCACCCATTACCTTCAAAGATGCACAGAGGGAGGCCATTGAAGATGACAAGAAGTCCGAACATATGCATTTGGGAGGAATCATTCCATTAGAAACTATAATTCAAATTTTCAGGGCTTTAGTCACTATCAACACTCTAAGTTAAGCCCAGAGCCAGTATAGTTAACAAAGGAGAGGATCCAATAGTGGTAGTATCACCAGTTCAGTTAGTAAGCTAGATGCTGTATTTTGAACTAACTGGTTTCCAACCATCTTTAAAATAACCCCATGTACAATGCAATACCTGGGCATGAATAAATAATTGTCAAAGTTCAAAAAGATTTGCAGTCACAACACCAGCCTAAATCAACAAAAGGCATTCCTAACACCAGCCTGAGACCACCTATAAGCTGATTCTTCAAAGGAAATGCAATTCACTCCAAAACATGTTGGTCAAACTCAGCTGAGCAGACATCCCATTCACCAATACTACCTCCATCTTGGCTTAAGCTTGAATTAATTGGCTCTCATCTGTTCACTGTAATATAACAATCAAATAAGCAGCAGTAAAGCACAATTTCAAAGCAGACAATGCAATTAAAATTAATACTGATTTTTATTGCAACAGAAAATGTAATTGGATGCTTATTAAAATAGGCTTTTTTACTATTTATCTTTTAGGTAAGTTAATTACAAGCATCTCTTTTCCATGATGCTTTCAAGTCTCAACAATTACTATCTCCAATTCATGATTTCAAGGTTACCTCTTTGATTTTGAAAAGTACAGTTCAACATTACACAAAGATCAGCTTAATAAAATGGAAAGCCTACTTGATAAAAAGAATCCTGGCAAAATAATTTGTAAAAAAACAGTAACAAATCTGCAATCATTAAACATTTGTTCTGTTATGGTTCTGCATGCTACAGGAGAAGCTTTTAAAACCACAATTAAAAAGCTTTAGGAGGAAAATTCCCATTAGGAAAGCACAGCCAAGAAAGAACTCACTCTGTAGTACAAAATATTTTATTTCATGGCCAATGATGTTCTACACAACGATGAATCATTTCTAGACCAATAAAGTTAACCCGAGTCTTCTTTTGAAAGGTAACACTTAATACAATTCAAAAGGCCCCCTTCTCTGGAACAGCTTACCCCCACAGATAAGGGCAGCTCCTGTTTTTGGAAAGCATTTAAGACCTGGCTCTTTCAGAGGGTCTTTGGGGATGGTGAGTATGGTTGACTTGTTCCTGAAGAGTAACATCCTCAAGAAGGGGCACCAGGCAATGTGTAGATAATTATGATACTGTGTGTTTTTTTTTTCTGAAACACAAAGTGGTTCACAAAGTAATACCACAAAGCACTTTCAGAAACTGACAAGCCATCCATGGAATATTTGGATTGATCTTACCATGGAACACTAGAATAGATCATGATGTTCTGCAAACAACTAATTCCTTTTGCACTCAAAGGCAACTGTACAGTGAACCTCAGGCAAAAGATACATTCTGGATGAATACAGGTAGTCCTTGCTTAACAACTGTTTGTTTAGTGACCGTTCAAAGTTACGACAGTACTAAAAAAGTGACTTACTACTGTCCCAGCACTCCTGCAGTCATGTGATCGTGATCCAGGCGCTTGGCAGCCAGCTCACACTTACAACAGTTGCAGCAACCCAGGATTACGTGATCGCCATTTGCAACCTTCCCAGCTGGCTTCCAGCAAGCAAAATCAATGGGGAACCACATGATTTGCTTAAGAACCATGTGATTCGCTTAACAACCACAATGATTCACTTAACGACTGCCACAAAAAAAGGTCATAAAATCGGATCCAATTCACTTAACAACCACCCTGCTTAACAACCACTTTTCCAGTCTCTATTGTGGTCATTAAGCAAGGACAAACTGATGGAAAAAGGAGGAACTGATTAACTGCAGGTAAGAATACGTATAAATGCACATGTTCCATAGCACTGGGATGTTTATCTATTAAGGCATAAGCATTCCTACTTAACACATGGGGAAAAATCCTTCAAATATACACATCACTACAATATATTTTAAAAACTAACACTTTGTCTGACATCAAGGTTTTTAAGGTCAAATCAGTGTTACAGAGACAAATAGTTATTTTTTCTGCATCTATTTCACTACATCTCTATTGCTGATATTTTGATTTACTGATTATACTAAGGCATATTTAGCAAATTGTTATTTCTAATTACTTACATGCACCAGGATTTCCAGAACTGCCGATAAGTATAAATTTGGGGGAAAAAATGGCTTGGTACTGCATGTTATCCAAACTTCTATCGGGAACTAGTGAAATGTCAACATTAGGCAGATGATTGTTATCACTGGCTATTAAAGTGAATGGTATGAGATATTAAAACCAAAACAAAATTTGTTTTCTAACTTACCTAAAAATATGGCAAAGCACTTCATGTGAAAGCTGGTTCATGTAGTCTTTCTGCTCAGCAGCTTTGATGCATACAGGGCTTTCCCGGCTTGTGGAATATACTTTCACATTTTTCCGTCTAGGCCCCATTTTGATAGGGTTTGCAGATTATAGTGTTCTGTGCTTCTAAGAAGATACAACGAAATTGAAAGAGAATGTTATAATAAATGAAGAATATTGATGGTAACTCAAATTAACATATATGATCTATGTAAGCCTTATCATTTGCATGAAGTTTAGAAAACACTATGCAAAAAATATAAGCAGCTTCTGGAAAGATGGGTTATACTTTCCACTACACACTGTATCTTTCATTTGAATATAAAGATGGAAGAAACTTTCTGATTAGGAGAAACCAATTCGTAAATGGAACCTAATTCACGTCTCTTGTGAAAAATCACCATTAGTATTAGTAAAAAATTACCATTAGTATTAGCAGTCCATTTCTAGAAAGCCAAAGGAAAAGATTTTTTGGTTAGCCTAGTCCTGCAGGACTCCTCTTGCATTCTTAACAAATAATGTCATGCATTCATATTCAGTCATAATCACCTCTGATTTCAATGGGACTTATCTCAAACTAAGACAGAATCACTAACCTAAATATTGGAGGATTAAACAATGGATAGCAAATTTCAAGAAATGTTTGTTTTTATAAGGAAGTTATATACCAACTCTTTTGCTAACTGTCTTAGAAATAAATCTCACTGAATTTGGGAAAGGGTAGTTAAGTCTATTATATAAGGTAGTTATAGAATTGACTTAGAAATGTAACTGACCACTTTTAATAACTATTATTGTTAGTAATCAGACTTTCTGTATATCATTTCCCACCAGACTCCCTATTTATAATCGTCCTGCAACTGTGCACTGTGCAATTCAGATAACATGTCATGTCTCTCATAAAGTAGCCTATAATTTAAAAAGCAAATACTGTATAACAAGTTCATCAGCATGCAAGACTTTGCATTTGTGCCTTAACCACAGTTTAACAAAGACTCAATGGAGTAAAGAGATGCATTATTCAGAGGAACTAATAGTTCTACTATAGAATATACCAGGGTTTTTTTTCATTTATGATCCAAGAAATTAATTAGTTTCCTCTTCGTATTGGCTGAGTTTACACAACAAGTACACTATGCTCAGATGAATTCCAGCTTGCTACGTGAAGTCAGTAATTGTATTTTGGTAACATGTAATTATAATTTATTGTGTTGTGTGAATCCATTATTAAAAAGAAAAAAAGAAAGAAATCCGGGCTATTCATTATCATTATTTCTATAAATTGGCATCTTCCATTTGCTAGTATTATAATTTCCACTATTGTGGGTGCTATAATCCCAAGCCTTTGAAGAGCACCAGGCTGTAGAAGTCACTCTATGAAGCTTAAGGGGAAGAAGTAAAAATAAAGACTGATCTGGTGTCCATGGGCAACAGTGGAAATCATAATAAAGCTGACCCCCATTTCGGTTCTCAAGAATAAGACAACAGGAGTGGGGGAGAAGAAAAGAGCTCTTTGTCAAGTCTAGAAGTCAAGAGGAAGACAAAGTCCAACCTTAAACCATAACTGTATAAGCCTAAGCAAGTCAATGAGACAGCTCCTCAGCCCGGTAATAAGTAGGCCGCAGGTGCCCAGGCCAACAAGAAACGGAAAGAAATGCTGGGCTGGCTATTCAAAAGCGTCATTTTCCACCCACCCCCG